TTTCTTCTATATGTTGCATATAATTAAAAAAGAATCAATTGCTTATTAATCTTATAATAATCGGATTTTTAACAATAGGAGGCACAGATTAATATGTGCAGCCTTATTGCGCTCACAAGTAAAGGTCTTCAACGGACAGGACGAGGACCTTCTCCAGGGAAACGGCTTTGATCTTGAGGTATCGGTTACGAACAAAACAACCAAAAGCCGTGGACGATGAACGTGGAGAGGATTGTATGTGGGGCGCGGCTCATGGTCAGACGGTCAATGAACCTTTCCTCGCCTCACCTCGACCGATCTCGGCTTCTGTCGTCAGCTTGATCGGGCGAGGTCGGACAACTTCGTCCTAACTTCGACTAAGGTCGTCTTTGACCGTCTCCACTGAGCAATCCATGTATTTAGGGTGCGTGGCTGAAAAACCTTCATTGTTCAATTACATGGTGATGGATTGAGAAAAAGAATGATTTCATCTCGAAAACAAAAAAATTCCAATATCAATTTTATGCAACTCTTCATGCGATGTTATTTTTCTGCGAAACAGCATCTAAGCAAGTATTTTTCTTCAGCACGAGAAATACTTATCATCTTTATATATTACATATTCGCTATAAATAGAAATTTTAGCGAATATAAATATGAAAATTTAGATTTGTAAATATTTGTAATTAATATATATAATTTAATAATTAATAATTTACGATAATATCATATAATTATAATTTATTTATAGTAATTTATACAATAAATGAAATTCAAGTATTGTGTTCAATATTATGCTCAACTTTATTAGTAATATTATTAATAATATTACATAATGTAATATTTTTTAATAGAGAATAAATACACAAATTTTTTTTGATTAAAATAATTCTAAGAATAAATTGATATTCTCAACCATAGTAACATATTATAAAAAAATAAGTATATAGTACTTATTTTTTATATTATTTTGAATAATTTTTATAAACATTAAGAAAATTTAATTTATAATAATGTAATTCACGAATCTCAGAAAACACAAATACAAAGTTTTTCACTTGATAAAAGCGAAAATTAAACATAGTCAAATACGTACATACATACATTATGACTTAAGAAGAATTGCTTTAAAGTTGCACGACGAAGGTCGTCGTCTAAAACATGCTTCGCATTGAAAATTTCTTTAGTGCATTAAACCGGTATCCAATCTCGTTTTCTTTTAAACTTATATTACCTTTGTTGTCAGACAAGTAGTTTTATGAAGGTAACTACTAGTTCAATTACCAAAATAACGATTGAAATTTCTTCGCAGCTCTAAATTTATCTGCTCAAATTTAAATTTAAATATATATATTTAAAGGTCTATCGCATGAATATTTTTTAATTATATGTGACAAATGAAATATTTATATTCGAAAAAACTTTTGTAAATATATAATCAAATTTTGATTAATTATCGATAATAATATTTCATTTTTATATTTTAATTTTTTCTTTTTAAACAATTTTTAAACAAAATAATTTTGTAAATATAAATGATTTTATTATGAAGTTATGAATTTACATAAAACATGCACACATTACGAAGATAATGCATTTCAATATCCATGGAATTCTGAGATCATGACACCGGAAGTTCAAGATTCCAAGAGAAACAGTTATAGCAATATTATTTTGTTTGAAACAAAGTTATAGCTTATATCAAATTAAATGCGTTGAAATTATATATTTACAAATTTATTGTGCTAAAACAAAAAAATTCTAAATTTGTTTAATATTTTTACAATTTCATTCTTTCGAAAATTATTCTCAAAATTAATTCTCAATTTTAAACTTATATTTTTTAATTTAATAAACTTTTAATCTTAATCTTTGAATATCTTTAAAAATGACTATATAATAATTTTATGAATAAAATTAAAATATATTAAAATTAATAAAATTATGATTAAATGAATTAAGAATAGAAATGATATAATATTTTTAACATGCATCATCTGAACAATATTAAACAAGACCTTAAAAAATAATTATGCACAAAGAGAGACACGTGTCGTCAGTAAACGAAGAGATAACAAGGAAATGTATAATGAACAGTTGCTATCTTTCTTTGAATACTTTGAACACTCCAATACTCTGTTTCCTCATGACACGTCACTGATGCGCCGTGACGGTTGCTTTCCACAAGTTAGAACAAGGGTGCCAACTTTTGAAGGCCGATAATGCATAAGATCAGCAGAAATTGTAGAAAAAAGAGAATGAAATGCTTTAAATTCGAATAAACATTTTCACCTCATATTTAAAACAATCTATAGAAAATACTTTCATCAATAAAATTTCAAAACATGTCTTTAAAAAAAAAGATAACAAATATATTCATTATAATACTACCAACATTATAGATTATAATTATAAAAAGAATAGCATTACAAAGGAAATCCAAATTCTTTGTCTCAAAAATTTTTATACAACGATAATTTATGTTATTTAATTAATTTTATGTAATTCATTTCATCGTTTAATAAATTTTATATTCAATTTCAACCCAAACATTTTTCAAATTCAATTAAAATCTTATTGTTATATATAATTGCAATTTTTGGAAAATAGACAATTACTTTTATTCGTTTATATCTACATAAATAATACGTGCATACTTATAAAAATTAAAAAATTTCTAGTAGATGACACAATTACGTATCAGAGTGCAAATTAGTCGTACAAAGTGGACAGCTGAAAGAAAATCAGTACGTCTATTCATAGTACGATAAACGTTTAAGTCTGCTATAACAAAGAGGCCACATACGGTCGTCACACGTCCGACGTAGAAACAGTCATATGGGCGAGCATTTAAAGGCACACGGTAAATGCGTTCGCTATGAGTGCGCGTACTGTAATACATTGCAAGTATTAAATGTTGCAATCGTTAAAATTCCAAACCATTATAGTATATCATTATAAAAATTAAAATAACAAAGTTTTTCAGATTGAAATAAATAGTCCCATTTAAAAATTAATTTAATATAAGTTATACTTTGTAATATAAAATCCTTTATTCATTAATCATTATAAAATCATAACTTTTTCTTAAGTTTTTTAAAAAATATAATAGTTTCAATTTCAATATTAGTTTCAATATTAAAATTAATTTTTTTCAACATTGTAGTAAAAGAAAATAGATAAAGAATAATTGCCAAAAGAATTAATTTACCAATAATGCAAAAACTAAATATTAATATTTTGAATTTTTTAATTTGATTTTATTAGACAATAATGATTAAAAAAATAGATAAAATAAAGTATTAAAAAGAATCAGATTTAATGTTAAGTATATATAAAATATATATAAAATAAATCTAATATATACTTAAAAGCTTACTATTCTATATTTTGACTGAATATTCAAAACTTAAAATGATATTTGCATAAAAATTCCAGCAAAACGTCAGAAACATGACAGTATACGCCTGCTTAGTTTCGTGCATGCTTATGCGTGTGCGTGCACATTGATCGATGATACATATGCATGTTCGTATATATGTATGTTTATAAGAGTCTATCGAACATCCATTGCAAAATGAATGTTTTAAATAATGGAAAATTTATCGAATCGAAACATATCGTCAGAAAAATAATTAGTAAAATTTAAAAATAAAATAAGATACAGATAATTTTTTGAAAAAGAAATGTTTGACGTAAGCAATATGTATAGCAATTTCTAAAATAACGATTCAGTTTGATCAACTGAATGAAAAGCAACCAACAATCGATACTGAGGAAATATACTAATTTCAAAATTTGTCCAAAAGGAAGCCAGACAACATTATATAAAGAAAATTATTATAAACATCGAAAATTATAATCATGCATGTCGGAAACATTAGAAAAAATGTGTTTTGAATTAAAATATAAAGTGCTTAAAATATAAAATAAACATGCAAAAAGCTAGAACAACCTACACTAAAAGTCACACCGATTAAAATGTCAAAAGTAGAAGTTGCGTAGGTGCTCGAAAACAACACTTGATTACCACTCATGAATTACAATCTTTTTTTTTAATACTAAAACAAGAATTAATTAATTAAGTGAAAAGATTGCAATTATATTTGAAAGAAATTAATAAAATATGATAAAAAATCGACAAATGGAAGATGCGTTCAGGACCGACATGACGCACGACCTATGTACGAGCTATATTGACTCCAAAGCAACCCTCGAGAAAATTCTATTAAATTTTAAGATTTTTAGCAAGATCTTTTGTGAAGAAAATATATATGGCGTGGTAATCTAGCGTTAAATTCGTTATCGCGGCAACCATACAACCAAAAATGCATAATTTTAGGAATTAAAATGATGAGAAATCACAATAGCGTTTACTTACGGCCGACGGTTGTTTCTGAAGGCTTTCGCAATCTGTCGGTCGTACTCGGGAACTTCCGTACCGTATGTCTTGTCAAGCCAGTGTCCGCCATGCGACTAACCTCTGGTTCCACAAGAAGATAGCTTTTTCATGATTTCAACTGCTCAATAGAAAAATTTATTATTTTTTTTTTTTACTTTTGTCGTTTTAAATATGTAAAAAAATATTAAAATAAATTTATTATTAGTTTTGTTTTTGATTCTAGCGGTAGTAATATATAAGACGGCATTTCAGACACATTTCTATAAGTTGTTAAAAAATAATTTTATATTATTAGTTAATTTTCTTATTAATTTAATTTAATGACAGATTTTTATAAAAAATTGATTTAAAAATTTAAAGATTTATAATTCGTTTTTTTATGTTGTAATAAGATATAATAATGTTTATGAGATATTATTTTGAATCTAGTAGTATCGACGGTGTTGTAGACATACTAAACTATAGTTATTTGCTTTAATATTATAAGGAATTTAAAATGCGATAAATGTATATTGTATTACTAATAATTTATTATCAAAGAATAAACAGTTTTATTATACATTAATTAAAATGTTTGTTTTCATTTATCATATTAGAACTTAAAAATGTGAAATATCGATAATATAGGAATTTATTAAATTCGCGGCTGCAAATACAAAGAGACTATTGTCACATGGGCGGTGGATTAGATCATTTAAGCAACTGTCAGTTTCTAAGATTCGATACATAAAAATAGTTCTTCTGATTTTTAAATGTGAATTAATAAAGCAATTTATATTTAGGTATTAAGAATATTTGTGATAAAATAATTCAGGTTTGTTGCATAGTTCGTGATGTTTATTTTCATTTATATTTTATATTTTTATTTTACATTAATTTAATTTTCCCTATATTCGTCATATACTATTAGATGATTATTCTGTTCTATGCAATCACGCAGAATGGTTTTAATACATCGATTAAAATTTAATTTATTACAATATTCGTATAACATAAAATTGTATAATATTATCTTGAATTAATATATCACTTTTAGTTTTAAAAATTTTCATTTAATATTTACATTATATTATTTCATGCAATTTAATAAATTTTGCACTTATTAACAGTATTATCATCGACAAAAAATATAAAGTAATAATTTATTATATAGAATTTTATTAAAATTCTATACGTGATTTGAATGCACGAAATATATATTTATTTAATAGTATAATAATAAAAATTATATAAATAAAAAATTATATTAATTTCATGTTAATTTAAATAAATTATGATATATAAAAATATACTGTACATGTATATGTCATTAAAGTTTTAATAATGATTCATATAGCATGATGATAGCATATCAATGTTCTTCATAAATTTGTCATAAAAATTTTATGATTTTATTACATATATATACATGAAAACATTTAGTTATATGTAAAAAGATTATTAGATAAAAATGTTTTTATTAATACTTATAATTCACAAATATTTTAATTTTTTTTTTAGAAAGAAATTATAATGCAATTTATTTTTATTTTTAGAATGGCTTACAGTTCTCAAACATATGGGTCCACAGATCAACGGACAGATGTACCTGATGTAGGATTTAGTCCTACTGAACTTTATAGTCTCAGTGAAAATATTACAACTAATATATATACAATTAATACAAGTTGGAGAACACTTGAACGAGCATATAAAAATGTTGGAACCAATAAAGATAATCAGGGTCTAAGAGATAAGGTGTAAGTAATTTTTATATTGTATTGTAATATGAAATATCATCTAAAATAAAAGATCATGTAACTTAAGAATATATAATATTCATTAAAATGAAAAAAAAATTATATTTTATTTTATTTTATTATGTATAAACATAATAAAAATAAATATTAAGAGATGGTTCATTACATAATATATATATTCTTTTATTTTATATTGAGTTTTTATTCATATTTATTTTCTCTTTATTTATTTTTTATAAGGCATGTCACACAATTAAGCACAAATCAAGTAGTAACACAAACAAGCAAAGATATTGCAAGACTGACAGTGTTAATGAGGCGAGGTGATAAACAACAGAAATTGCAAATTGAGAAACTCACTACTGATTTCAAGGATGCTTTGCAAAGATATTCAGATATGCAAAAGGTAAGTAATATTTTACTATTATATATTTTGTAATTTTATTGAAATATAACTTTATTATTATGAAATTTATTATGAAATTTATAGTCAATTGTGGAAAAAATGAAGAGGCATATTTTGCTTACAACTAGTATAGAAAATCCTATGAATTCAGAAGAAGAAGAACAACAACGTTTACTTCAAGCTCAGGAGGATGAACACAGAGTGACACAAAGGTTTGAATGTAAACTATATATTAACTTATAAATAAATATATAACTATATTTGCACATATAAATAGTGAAAAAAGCTTGACTATTTCTCACAGTCTGCACACAATGGGTTCAGAGATGGCTAACATTATTAATCTTATTAAAGATTCAAAATTCAAATAGGCTTTTTTCATGATTTTTATAAGATGAGCATATTTTATGGATTTTATAATATGAATATTGAAGTAGCTTGAATGTAAAAATTTCACTGAAAAGATTAAATAATTGCAACATGTATTATTAATATAGAGAAGTTATAAAATACACTTGAGTGTATGGTAAGTTTGTTTTAATGCATATTAATACAAACTCTGAAATAACATTATTCATTATATCAAAAAATAATGAAAAAATAATCTGCAAGTAATTTCACTTTTCTGATATGCGTAGGAATCTTGAATTTCAACAAGGGTTACTGTTAGAAAGAGAAGATAGAATAAAACGGATCGAAGGAGATATTTTGGATGTGAACCAAATAATGCGTGAATTGGCAGCATTGGTATATCAGCAAGGAGATACAATCAGTAAGTGATTCTGGCTTTCATGTAAATATTTAATTCATGTAATATTTTATTTTTTTGTAAATTTTCTTATAATTCTTTTTTATTATAGATACAATAGATAATCATATAGAAAATGTACATGGAAATGTTGAACTAGGAGCACAAGAGTTAATCAAGGCAAGTAATTACCAAAGTAAATATCGACGAAAAGTTTTTGTCCTATTGTTACTCGCAATCATAGTCGTTATTATATTAATTATTGTTCTAGTCACTAAATTAAGTTAGCGCTCCTAATTATCCTAGATACTGCGAGCGAATAGAAAGGGTTGTCTCAATCTATTTTACTGATTGTAGAAGTAATATTATGGAAAAATATAAATTGTCAGTTTATGTATCGGACATGCAATATGGGGAGAGGATAGACTTATTTTATATTCATTTGTAAATTGATTAATTCAAATGCATTATTTTTGTTTATCTTTGAACTTGTAAACATAGATGGTTTTCATTGCATATTTGTTTCTTATTTTCATTTTAAATTTAATAATTTAATTTAATTCAATTAAAATTTAATAATTTAAATTAAAATTACATGTACAAAAGTATTAAATATCTGCATTATTCTTTATAACATTTGTAATAGAAACAAATCTTTATTTTTGTACATGAAAAAATTAACACAATATTGATTATTATAAAGAAATAATTTTGTTGTACCTGTAAACTATTATTTAGCAAAATCTTCGATAAATCATTTTAATTGTATTATATATTATTTTCACAATAAATTGTACAGCATTATAAATACAGCAAGTGTTTAAGTAAAATATTAATGTTATATTATAATTTTCAAATTTGGTAACATATATTGTTTACTAAAAAAAAATTTAAATTAAAATTATATACTCTACTAATTAATTACAACAATTTGATCCTTACCATCATTGAATAATTATTTATTTATTAAACAATTTTTTAAATAATAAAATTATTATTTATTTATCTTGAAAATTCTATTAAAAAATATTTTCAATATTTCATGACATCAATATTAAAGAATTATAAATAAATACATAAAGTAATTATAAGATATGAATTTGAATATATGAAATAAATAATGTGGCACTAAAATGATCAATATTAAAAAATTAGTATAGACAATATATTATAAACAAATTTTTTGTTTGCATTTTCTTAACTATGCATTACAAATAAGTGTTACTTTATAATGTTTTTACTTAAAATGTAATTTTCTATTGCATATACTTTGTTACTCATAAATGTTACCTATAGCTCTTGCTCAATTTTTATTAATCAATAGAGTACAATGAAAAGTGATAAGTAAAAATTATATTTTACAAAATAACAAAAAATTTATGTTTTATTATTATATTATATATAAATAAAATAAATAAAATAAAATTAAAAAATGCTATGTTAATTTATTATAAAAATAATATCATATATTAATATGATATTAATATTATATAAAATATTAATATTAATATTATATGAATTAATATAATTATATTTTTTTTTATTTCAATTTAGAAATATAAATTCTTAAAGTGGAAATTAAATTATAATCATATCAATTACTTATTGCTTTTCATTTTTTTTACATATGTTCAAAGTTATGTATAAATTAATATATATTTGTATATGTGTATACAACTTCTTTTACAGATTAGTCACTTCAATATAAAATATGTGATATTAAGGAAAAAATAATGATTTATGTTTTTTATTTTATGTATTTGATTTTTTACTTTTTTATATATATATGAATACAGGTACTAAGAGAAAATATTAAAAATATGCATTGTATTACAAAATCTTTATCATAACACATAGAAAACACTTATTGTTTTTCCAAAACTGTTTTCAAGTTCACATTTTCAAAAAAAATATATTATTATTGTAATTATTATTGTTTTATTGAAACAAAAACTTCTATAAACATATAAGGAATGACAAAAACATCATATTTTAGTCTAAGTATAATTAAATTGTATAAATTGTGAATATATGATTTTTTATAACCATTCTTTAATAGAATTATGATATTGTTTATTATGGATTATTATATACTTTGGTAAAGCATGCAACATTAATAATAAAAAAAAAAATAAATAATACAATTAATTATCGTAAGATTGAGACAACCATTTTCTTCAATGTTTTTTTGTGAATCGATTTGACTCTTATATGATTATTAGGCATTCCAAAATCTAAAAATCCAGTGTGATTATATTATTATTAAGGTTATAACTTGAATATTGTATATATATATAACTAACCACTGACATTCAAAATAAATTGCATTATATATGATACTAATATTGTTATATCGTTAACGTATATACACATGACAATTGTTTTATAGAATAATGAATTCTATCATGCTTTATTGTATTAAAAAATTGAATTACATTTCACTCTTTTATTTTTTCTTTTAAAATGTATTACATTGTTTATAATATTTTATTTAAAAAATTCAATCTTCATTTATTTGAATGTAGAAACAACAGAATATGAAAAGAAATATATTATAATATATATTAATAAAAGATTTTAAAAATCATTGAATGATACAGTTTTGTATTAATTTTTTTTTTTTCAAGTTTTTTTTTTCTATTGTAAATACTCTTATGATAAGGATCATCATTTAATAATTATACATAAATAAAAATATGATAAAAAAATATAAACAATTTTATTAAGCTTTGAAAACAATCATTGTTTAATATTTTCATTATCACAATATTTATAATTTATTGTATTTGAGATGTACAAATTATATGATATTATCAATACATACGATACCACTTTAATATTTTTTACTACATTTTTCTGTGTTCATGCATTTAAACTAAACTTTTAGCTTACTTTATATACATAATATATATAATAAATATATATA